CGGGGGTTTGAAAGCCCGCAATCCCGGGGGCGACAGGATGGGAATACCGGCGGACGCAATTTGCTCTCGAGTCGAGCTCTTGCGTCGAAGACCGACCGCGTCGGCCTCGCCCTGCTCTCCCCATAGATCGAGATTGAGAGGAGATGACTCCGTAGGGTCGCTGGAGCGCCCCTCAGCCTTCGAGGTTGGCCCACGCGCTGCCACAGAGATGGAGACGCAACCGGCGGCGGTGAGCGCCATTCCTGGGAGGCCAGCGAGGGGCTTGTGAGCGCATCGGACGGCATAGCAGATGCCCTAATCATATACCTAACAAAGCTCCCGCCGTCGGCACGCGACCCTCGATGACGGCGGCGAGGAGCAGGACCACGATGGAGTTGCTGCCGAATATGGCGATCGACATGCTCGTATACGGGCCGACGGAGAGCGCCTGATTGATTGCGTAGACCCCTCCCGCCTGAGTGAGGGAGCGAATGAGCAAAACCACTCGTATGCGGGCGCGGCTGGCCTCAAGCCCCACTAGTTCGTACCTGGAGGAGTCCGCAAATGAGGGGCAGGCCGATGCTAATTCGATCTGCGCCATCCCAGCTCGCCCGAAGCAGCAGCGGCACGGCTGCTTTGCCCATCACGAGAGCCCGAGCGATGAAGCCGCTCGAGGCAGCCAGATTTCCAGCCGATGCAATCCTCACAGAGAAGACAGACGCGCCAAAGCTTACCATTGCCCCTACAGCCAAGGTGAGGCCGCGCAGCGAGACGGCGCCGGTTTGGCCAAACGGACCGGCCATGGCCACGAGACCGGCAAAGACGGCAGCAACAGAGAGCCACTGTGCGCGCGAGAGCCGTTCGTCATAGAAGAAGTGGCAGAGGAGCGATACGAGGATGACATCTGCGCAGACGACCGAACAAAGTGGCCCTTGCGCGTCCGGATCTGCAGCGAAGCTGAGCTTCATAAACAGGGCTGCGGTGGCCAGCGCAAGGCCACCAGAGAGCGTCGCTAATTTTGGGATGCAGCCGATGCGCTGCGGTGGGCCGCCATGCTCGTGCGAGTCGCAGTAGAACACACCTCGCGACGGCCTGCGGAGGAGGAGCGCTACGCCACAGGTGCCCGTGGACAACCACAGCAGGCCGACCGTCCGGCAAAAATCGTCCTTTGGCATTGAGTTGGTAGCGCCAATGAGGTAGTTCTGGAGACCAAAGAGCGCGCACGCGCCGGAGGACCAGCCGATGGCTTTGCCGACGCTCATATTGCAGGGGCCGCAACGGACGTCCGTTTCCCGGCAGTTGTTTTCTCGAAACACCCGACCCAGGCATTCCAATCGCGGTGCTGCCGCGGGCGCTGGGGCAGCTGCCAGAGCACTGCGGTTGCGCCGAGAGCAAACGCCATCGACGGAAATGCTCTCCTGTGGTTCCTTGCCCGTTGCCCCCAGGGCTCGCAGCTCCTTCCTGGCCGCCAGCCCACAGCAACCAACTGATGCGCCAACCACCACCGCCCCCCTGCTGTCAACTGCTCGTCTCCTACTGAGCTGGACACGCTACTCCATTCCTTTGCGAGCCAACGTAGTCACACACACAACCGCGGACGTCGCGGGCACCGCACAGAGCCAGTGATGGCCATTTACTGGTATAGCCCCCCCTGATGAACACACCAGTGAGGGTGGGCGAGACGATCGAGGGGTCCCGTACCATGCGGAACCGACCCTATCCAGTGCTCAAGTGCTCAAGTATAGCCCCCCAGAACAATCAAACACTCTACGGCCAAATCAATCAATCAAATGGTGGTAAGTTTTACCACGACTTCTGAAGCAAAATCAGACAAAAATCGGAGAAATCGGCAAAATACCCGGTATTTTCCAGGTATACCCGGGTTTTCCCAGGTATACCCGCAAAATACCCGGTATTTTGCCAATTTGGCTGAATTTGGCCGCAAACCAGCCTCAGACTCGGCTCAGATCCCGAAAAATTGATGATTCCACGGAGTTTCGTAATTTACCATACCACTCTCTGCTCATACCATACCACTCCCCTGGAGAATCAAATAAGTGGTAAATACCACTCTTTTACCAGTAAATGCAAAATGGCCATCACTGGCCACAGACTGACCCACAGACCGGCCACACAGCCCACACCGCGCGTGGGTCGGCTGCCTCTCGGTGGACGGCGCTGGAGGTGGGGCCGCGCTCGTGTGTTCTCCGCGCGTGTACATCTTGCTCTTTATTTCGGGCACATCATAATGTTCATGTATGGTCCACAATGACCCGCCGTCAGACGACTCGTTGCATGTGAAGCTCGTCCTGCATCATGCCAGCCCTGGCGCACCCCCTCGGAGCATGATCTCGGGCGCCCTCCCTCCCCATTCTGGTAAAACGCCCGCCCACCAAAGGCCCCCGTTACCCCGCGCCGGGGCGCCGGTGACCCTTATTCTGCCAGCTTCCCCGGGCCAGTTCCGGTGTGGCCCCCGCAGCCCGGTTTCCGCCGGG